AAATCCCCGGATGTGTTCTTGATCCGCCCCGTTTACCGAGGATGCATCGAGAGGTGACTTGTGTGGACTTGAGATAGCCAGGTAACCCAGAATGCACCTCGCACCAACCAGCAAGCGTCAATGGGAGAGGAGAAAATCCGCGAAATATCAAAATACTACTGTTATTGAGTCATGAAATGTAATTTTAAGAGTGTTTCAGGCGAGAATGTGGTTGTTTAAATCTCAAATCTGTACTTTATTTATAAAGATAGCGCCTATATTGTAAAATGCATCTGACGTTTTCGGAGTTCTGACATCCAAGCCTTCAGCGGACACTCAGCGATATCAACCCCGACTGGAACAGCTTATCCTCGGCTAGTGCTTCTGACGTTTGCCGCCGGCTCTGATCTCTCTAGTCTAGTGGATAAACCTTGACGTAGGCTATAACTCGTCTTGTGTATAAGTCTATCTTTGGTCTCATTAAACTATAATTTGTTCCATGGCGCAAAAAAAAAAAAAAAAAAAAAAAAAAAAATTGTTTTTAAGGTTTCATGGCTATTTTTTTAATATTGTCTTCACTATATGAACAATAAAATAAAATGACATAACCCTGTCTCTGTTTGTTAAATGTCAATAAAAATCCAATGTTTCATATTTTTAAAATGAAAACAAAAAGATCATGTTCATTTTGTTATAATATGCAGTGAAGAGAATCGCGTTGACTGAACCACATGGCCATTAGGCTATTATAGGCTATGTTGTTTTTTGTTAATGAAGAGTCAGAGGGGTGTTTTATAACATATTTCGTCGTATTGTTGACGAAAAGATGCAGAGTTGTAGCAAATTTCGTTTTATTGTTGCCTAAAATATAGAGTAGAGCGTGCTGAGTGACGCGATCAAGTACGCTCTGTTCCATTTGCAGAAGAACCGGACTTGCGTCCTCACATCCTCGGGAGTTCGTTCTCCGGAGTCGAACTTGCAAGTCTGAACTACCAAGGACGCAAGTCCGAAGTCTGCGTACTTGGTATTGAGAAACGGCCATAGTCTCCATCTGCACCTTTCCGTCTTCTTCACTACACTTCCCAGGATCCTCTTGTCTCCCAACCTGAGCTCACTCCCTCATCAACCACCTGTGCATCGTCATCATCATCTGTGTCATCTGTGTCACCTGTTCTCACCTCATTATGTTTGATTTCTGCTTGTATTTAGTTTGCCTGTGCTCATTCATTCATGGTCGGTCGATGTTCATGTTACCCTGAGTTCTGTGAGTGTTTCTGTCCGTCTTCTGTGCCTGTACCTGTTTTGAGTCTTTAGTAAAGTAATTGAATTGGAGCATTTGCCACTTCGGTCTTCTTCTTCTGCCTGCACTCCTCAACAAACCGTGACAGCTGCATGATATATTAAAGCCATTTAAAGTCATAATATAGCATAGTGGTGGTAATGTGTGAGATCGCAACGGCTGCGATTCAATTAAATAAATATTTGCGCTGCAGCTTTCAGAGTTAAGCGCAGCTCTTTGTCATTTGTCAAACGTTTTATCCGATAAGAAAACATTAAAAAGTGGCTGTAGCATTTCTATCATAAAGAAGTGGCAAAATAACAACGAAGATTTAATTAAATGTTGTTTGGCTGATATTAAACAAGACACCCTCTGCAGGCATTTGTTATAATACATAATTTATATGAGTTGATTATGTTTACATTATGTACATTACATGATGTATTTTAAAAGTGTTTTTCAATAAAACCATAGGATTACTTGCTTTTCATTATTCATTTGAACCAATTATAATTGCCTTATTGTTATTATATACAGTATGTATTTTAAGTCATTTTTAAAGGCTACTGTTCACTTAGGTGTATTTTTATAACCACAAAAATATCAGATTACTCAATTACCAAAATAATTGTTAGTGACAGTTTGCATTTAATGGTAATTAGTAATTAATAATAGTAAATAGTAATTTGAAGTTGTTTTTTTAATTATCTTTAAAACAAAAATATAACAAAGTTCTCAGAATTACTTATTTTTGCACTTATTTTCTTGTTTATAGGGCGAACAATACAATATTTCCACATCAAAGACAGAACTTCTTCAATAAAAATGCCCTTGAATTAGCACCGTATTATGATTAGTGGTACAGAACAAAACAAAAACTTGAAAGAAAAATTGAAATTTCGGACAGTTTGACACCAGATATGCCAGCAAAACATGCAAAGACATATAAATGTATACATGTAAAGCCTAAAATCTCTCCACACACACTAAAAGTCCAACTGAAGCATAAACCTGTACAGTATAAAAGCTCCTCAGCACAATTTTCTCTTCACTGAAATAACATGACAAGATCCATTTTCTGCGCAAGAACAATGTCTTTCAGCTTACAAAACCAGCAGGCTTCTATTAACTACTTATATGTCTTTCATTCTGACCCGACTCCCAAGGTCAAGTTCAGCAACAGATTTCTTCCTGCATTGCATTTGCCACTGGTCTATTCCCATGCCACCATGAGGTAACTGCTTTTAATTGCCAAGGCAACAAAACCACACTAGACAACAAATAACCTGTAGGGTGGGCCCTAGGGTGGGCTATGCCACATGCCAGATACTCCTTTACAACATCTGCCATCTAGCTGTAATGTTTAACTTCAATGGTAGAGACACATCCAGTGATCATAACAAGACTGCAGTATAATAATGTAAACAGTGTATGGCATGTTCTACTATATATGGCCATGTGTGTGAACGCCTGCAAGAGTGAACAGGAAAATCTGTGCCAGTGGTGGCAATGATGCTTACATTTACAAAGCATATGAACCCTTTTAGATGGTGTATGCTGTTGCCTTTTGAGTTTACTGCACAGTGCACACATTTGGGAATGTAGTATAGTGGCAATAGAAATTAAAAAAACATTACCATTCAAAACATTTTTGAAAGAAGACTATTATTCTCACCCGGGCTGCATTTATTTGTAACATTGTAATATTGTGAAATATTATAAAAAAAAAAAAAAAAAGTATAATATTTTTAATATAAAAAATTCAAACAATTAAAAATATATCACTGTGATCGAAGCTGAATTTTCAGTATCATTACTCCAGTCTTCAGTGTCACATGATTTCAGAAATCATTCTGATATGATGATTTAATGTTCAAGAAACATTTCTGATTATTAATGTTGAAAACAGTCCTGCTTTATATTTTAGCGATAAAAACGAAGAAATGTGATGCTCTTATTATGTTTTTCAGACATACATATACATATATATATATATACTGTATATTAGGGCTGTCAAACGATTAATCGTGATTAATCGCATCCAAAATAAAAGTTAGTGTTTACATAATATATGTGAGTGTAGTGTGTATAATTATTTTGTATATATATATAAATACACACATGCATGTATATTTAAGAAAAAAATATTATTTATATATAAAATATTTATATTTATATTTCTTAAATATATACAAGCATGTGTGTGTATTTATATATATATATATATATATAAAATAATTATACATTATTTTGGATGCGATTAATCGCGATTAATCGTTTGGCAGCCCTAATATATATATATATGATATTTTTTGTGAATGTAAAAGGTCTGCAAAGTTTCAAAGATCAAATTGCTCGACAAATAAAGTTATTGTCTTCTAAAGGAAGGGAAAGGAGTTTAGAGACTGAATTTTGGAACAAACCGCTTTCAGAGTTTTTGAGAAATGAGTGGAATGAGAAATTAGGTGATGTGCACTGTATATTATGTGAAAAGTGTATTTTGACCTTTGATGTATGGAAATTTATTGTAAAAGGCCTAAAAAAAACGAAATCAGGAACCTTTGAAATATAATATCGGTGAAAGTGATACTTTCATAAAAAAGAAAAATCATACTGACCGTGAAAATCTTCTATTATTTCTAATTAAAGTCTTTATTTGTTCTAGGTAAAGTGTTTCACTGCAACTGCGGACTGTTCACGGTGCATCTGCAGCATGTCAGGCTGAAATGAAATAATAGCCCTGAAATAATGTCATTTTCCTGTTATTCACCAGATACCGCAGTCCTAATCTGCTGCACCTCGGTTTGACCACGTCAAGCAAGTTGCTCTGACAGCATCACAGACACACAGATTATTGGTCATTGTGCTATTCCGTTGCCAGGAGCGAATATTCCGTAACCATGGAAACAATGTTAATGTTCTCCACAAATCTGAGCCAGAAATCTGAAGTGTGTTCTGGAGCTTTCTGAAGAAAAATTACAACACAGGCCTTAAAGTCTTAAGATGATGTACAATATAAACAGTATTTTCCAACTAAATTGGCCTATAATTCTGATAAATAGTTACTGTAATATATCACAACAGCCTCTGAAAAAAACGAAAAAAAGAAAAAGCTATCAATCTTAAAACACGATAGCATGCATCTGCAGCTCCTGGCAAGAAAGCCTGATAATAAGTGTGGTGAATTTCCAGCTGAGCACTGGATGTTTTGGGGAGTTTCGTGTGTTCTCATAGAGGGTTTAAAAGCAGAAAGCTGAGAGTTTGTTCCCTTCATGGTGGATCTGTATGCATAATGGATTCTCCTCAGCAGTGAAACTGTATTCCCCACACAAAGACGAAGCAACCTGAGCGAAATTCCTGGTAGACTGGGAGAGGCGTTTTACTTCTCGTTGTTTAGGGTTTGTGGCATCTCCCCGACTCAAAAGCCAACAATCCACGCAACACAATTTCCCCACACCCACATTAAAACACACTTTCCACCACTGTCAGACACAATGCCTCGTTTTATTTCGACGCAAGTTGCCATGGTGACGAGAGCAACAGAGCGAATACAGTGGCTACTCACAAGCCCCTCTGACACGACTCACACCCTCACCCCGCTAAACGCACACAAGACCAGTGCTGACAACCAGAAACCAGCTGGAAACAACATGACCCGATTCATAACAAAGACTTCACAACACGGGATATAGTGCGACTTATAATGCCTGACAACAAACTACCTGAGACGACGAGCATTTACCTTCTCTCATTGTCATCTAGGTGGGCGAACAGCACATTCTTAGAGATGGCTTTGGCCAGGGCGGTCATCGTCTTGTAGTCCTTTGGAATGACCTATAACCAAAGAAAACAATGAGTTACTAAATTAAGTGTAGGTTTTCCTGGCATGTTGAAGTTTCTGCAAAATAATATCTACATTTGCGTACTCTATGATATTCTTCTGATCACCCTTTCACCCATTTTATCATACACAAGGCAGAAATGTAAATGATTGCTTAGAGAATTAATAGTACACCTCTTCTCAACAATGTCCATGATTTGAGGATCCATTCTCGTTCATACTGTAGCACAAATCATGCGGGACCATGACGTGTCATGTACCGATGTTTAGCACTTAGGTTTTGTGGTAATTAAAGGAGTCGTGACATGGATTTTTATTTTTATTTTAATGTGTTCTTTGAGGTTGACATATAACGTTAATTTAATATTTAGTATTAACACCCACTCGCAATTGCATCTGAGACAACGCATTATAAAATCTTTACTTACGGTTTATGCAGTTGCTTTCAGATATAATATACTTTCAACAAAAGTTTCTTTGCAAACTCTCTGTGCCTAGTTTACAAAAGGACAAACATATAATCCTCTGACACGATACGGGACGTCGTTAAAATTAAACATCCACTTGTTCCTGACACTGATAATCTTCTAAAGTTAGTACAGAGATGCAAATGAGTTGTTTAGAATTAGAAGCAAACGTTCTTTCACTCCTCCAATTTTTGCTTGCCAGGATTATGTCAGAAACTGAGCATGCATTTATATACAGTATCCAGTGTAGACAGCCTCAGTGATTATAATGAGTTTCCATTGAGTTTCTATAAGTGTCATGATGTATAACTATTTGTTAATGTCTTGCTCTGGAGGCAGGCATTTGCAAATGTATTTGGCCATTTGATGTCAGATCCCGCAATATTGAAATGAGCTTGATTAAAAAAATCCTTTGTTTATAATGAGGAAAACGTTTTCAGCTATGAAACTTGCATGTTTTAATAGTACAAAGGCCTCTTATATGTCAAAAGATCAAGGCAAAATTTGTGAACCCTTTAGTCATCATTTGAACCTTATCAAATTGCCAAATTGATTTTAAATAAAAATGTACAATCAAAATCAGTCTTTTATCATCAAATAAAACTATAACAAACCATTTTTGTTAATTGAAATAGGGCTAAAAAAAATTATATAATTATTAAAAGAAAAACTTAATCTTAAACTTAAAAAAAAATGCCTTAGGAAATAACTGAAATAAATAAGTTAATACATAATATTAAGTACTTAAATAAAATAAATTAAAGTTAAATAGAAATATATCAAATAAAAGCAAGTTCAAAATAATAAATACTATAACAGTATATAAATAACACAAAAATAACGCTGGTGCTTAATTACGTTCACAGCAAATGTTCCTGGTGTTATTGTGCACAATTCAGTGAATGTACTCATATTCATAGCACGTTTCGACTTGTTTTCTGCTTACATAATTAAGGTGGTACAGAAAAAGAAAACGACCAATAATATCATAGAGTAACATTTCCATCTAATCAAATAAAATTCACGTCGCATCCTGTATTATTTCCAGATTATTTCAGAAGAACCGCATTATAAAAATTGTTAATGCCAATTTTTGTCATCTATAATGAAAAAAAGTATCTAATGTGAAGACGTGGAGTTGAACCTGGTTTAGCACTAAAGGGAAGAATCCAAAACAGGGTGTTTGAAAATAACTGGAATTTTTTTTAACCTTTCTGACGTAGCTGACGGCATCCTCCTCTGTGTAGACTTCAGCGCTGACTCCACCTCTCCGGCGCCTGGCCTTCACCACCGGGTTTGGAGGAGGAGGAGACACTTCATCATCGTGAGAGTCCGACTGCGAGTTGGACTTCTGACGGGCCATAATCTGCTTGCATTCTTCCTGTGGAGAGAGGACGTGAACGATACATATGATTAGACATCCATTTGAAAGCATCGAGAGGATTGTACCCATCGAATGAAGAGCTGGATTTTTCATCCTCGTTACACAGGACACACACAAAAAACAGTGCAAAGTTAAAACAGAAGACAGCTACGATTAAAAAAAAATCACGATACAGATAATAAAATCTAATGCATCTAAAAGACTGAAACGTACTGTGAGCACAGACAGCGGATACAACAGCACTGAGATTTCACTAGCAGAGCGAGAGAGAGAGACACTGAAAGATTCCCGTATGACAGAGGGAAGAACAATGAAGCTGCACTCCACAGCACAAATGATGTTTGTGTCCATGAGACAACTAGTCGGAGAGGCTACACACAGTCTCACGGTACATTACTGCATGTGGGGTGGACATACGTCATTTATAAATGTATTGTGTTAACATACTACTATACAGTATATGATGAATATGTAATCATATGTATAATACATTTTGATTTCTTACTAAATATTTTTTTTTTACATAAAACTAAACTACACTCACAAGCCACTTCTTTATGTACACCTGTTCAACAGCTCGTTAATCAGTCAATCACATGGAAGCAAATGAATGCATTTAGGCAAGTAGACATGGTCAAGATGATCTGCTGAAGTTCAAACTGAGCATCAGAATGGGAAAGAGAGGTTGTTGGTGCCAGACAGGCTGGCCTGAGTATTTCAGAAACTGCTGATTTACTGGGATTTCCATGCACAACTATCTCTAGGGCTTACAGAGAATGGTCTGTAGAAGAGAAAATAGCCCGTGAGCGACGGCTCTGTGGGTGAAAACGACTTGATGGTGCCAGAGGTCAGAGGAGAATGACTGGTTTGAGCTGATGGAAAGGCAACAGTAACTCAAATAGCCACTGGTTATAACCAATGTCTGCAACAGGACATCTCTGAAAGATGTGTGAACCTTGAAGCAGATGTGAAGCTCACTGGGTGCCACTACTGTCGGATAAACCTGGGACCACACTAACACATTTTTTTAAATCTCGAGAGACTACAAACATGATGATGAGAAATCATAGATTTAACCGATTTGTTCTTCTAAAGTGTGGAGTCCAGCAATGTGTTCAGGATGTGATCTTGCCTGTGAACATGGGAAATCTCACAAAATCTCCAGCATCAAACGTGACTTTAAAGTAAACAAACTTGCAAGGAGAAATGCCGCTTATAGTGTATGGACCGTTTTTACAGTAAATTTGCAGGGGGGAAAAAGAAAATTGTTTAGATGAAGTCGTGGTGACGGTGTGAACACGGACTTTAGATGTTACAGTGCGAGCTGGAGGGGACACTTCCATCAGCTCGCTTTCTAATTGGGTATCATTTCGTTTCAACAGATTCAGGCACTCTTAACACACCGCAGGAAAATCTGATAATCTGTAGAACCATCAAGATAATCGGGACTTTACCTATAGGACTGCCAGAGAGGGAGAAATCGGTCCAGTGTGTGCCTATTAGAACAGGAAACTGAGGCAACATTTCGCCGAGACTCACCAAAATTGGACAACAAAAGATTGGAAAATGTTGCCTGGACTGCTGTGACATTCAGATGGTCGGGTCAGAATTTGGCATAAACAACATGAGAGCATGGATCTGTTTTGCTTTGTATCAACAACGGCTGCTGCTGCTGCTTATGTAGTGGTGTGGGGGATATTTTCTTGGCACACTTTAGTTTGGACCCTTTAGTACCAACTAATCATTGCCTAAAGGGATACTTCACCTCTGGAAAGATGAATGTGTATTTAAAATGGGTCATTGATGTAGAAGAAATGTGAAATTATTTTTGAATTTGGAGCTTTCTAGACTGAGAAAAGCCAGAAAATGTATTTTGGCTTATGTGGATGAAAGACAACAACTCCCAGAATGCACTTGCTTCGCTGCCCTAGGAGGCCACACCTACCGGTAACAGAGTACAAAAGTTAAACAACAAGTCTAGGCTACTAGTGAGTCTCTGTGATGAGTCTGCCCGAAATTGTGTTTCGAGATCGCCCAAAATGTCCGGGATTCGGCTTTTGAGTTCTACAGTCGCCATTCATCATGTTTACTGTGGCGAGCGGGACGAGTGAGGGCCCCGAGGTCAGTGGCGTGATTACCGATGAGCGAAACCTATGAGACACACCGGTCTCATATCTCTCACGGAGGAGCGGGAATTTTCTTAGCAATGTTAAAACGCACATCAACCGACCACTTGTTTAGCGTTCATCGACATCGACGGCCGGACATGTCCAGGAAAAAGAGGATGGTAACCCCTACTACTCTAGCCTGACTTCGTCATACTCCTTTTCCTATCGGAAGATGAGTCTGAAACCCCTCCGTCTGGCTTTGATTATGAGGCGTGTCTTAACCGAACCAGGAAAAAAAACAACTCTGCACTCAATTGGATAGTCGGTAAACCTACAACCAATCAGAGCAACGCAGTAAGTCAGCTACTTTGCATACAGTTGTCAAATACAGAACGTAGCCTAGCTTTACTTATTTTAGAAGTTAAATAACGAGTGTTGCTTCTTTTACTTACTCCTTCATGAATGCGACCAAAGGAGAAACCACAACGACCACAGGCTTTTCATTACGTCCCATCTTCTTAGCGACCGTCAGAGCCAGCTGATAAGTTACACTTTTCCCGAATCATGTGGGACGGCAAAAATATCTTTCCGATCGACAAATGCCTTGATTGCAGTTTTCTGTTTGTCTATTAAAATTAATGCGCTGTCGATTTATTTCACAACAGACGCGACAGCGGAATGGACTATGTGCACGTTAGCATATGCTAGTTCCGGCTGCGAAACCGATATGGGGTGTCTAGTTTCCGGTAGCCTGATGGACGACGTAGAGGATGTATGTTTCTCCAGATGTCTTGAACATTTGCCGAATATTACAGTCGATTATGTTCATCGACTGGCTAATGATTTTCCTCCAGCTCCCCAGAGCAAGAGAGAAGGGGTTTAAATATTACATTTCTCCGTATTTGCATCATTTTGAAGGGAACGTTAAGTCACAACAACATCCATGCTCAGACTGATCTCATGAAATTGCGTATGTATGACACGTATCACGTATTTTTGGCATGCTATCAACACGCATAATCTCTTTTCAGCGTGTTTATGAATACCGTTGACTTAACGTTATTATTGTATATATATAGCCTATATATATATATATATATATATATATATATGAAGAGTTCAGATGCAAAAGCCTCTAAATGCCATTTGAAATTTTCTTCTTTAATGATGATTTTTATCAAACTTGTATATTTAAGTTCAGTAATTTCACTTAAATGGCAATGATAATTACCTATTAATTGTTATTTAAGTGAAATTACTGAACTTAAATATACAAGTTTGATAAAAATCATCATTAAAGATGAAAATTTCAAATGGCATTTAGAGGCTTTTGCATCTGAACTCTTCATATATATATATATATATATATATATATATATATTATACACAGTGTATATATATATATATATATATAGCATATGACCTACCTCAACCCCAACCTACCCGTCACTCCTACTCCTAGGAAAAAATAAATATCGCTCCCCAGATGTAGATCTACATTTTGTTTTGTTTCGCTCGGACATTTGACGGCGTGTACATACGCGGTACACGTGGAATCACTCGGACATTAATGTTGCCATGCTACGTGCTCAAGCTATGCGATTTGGTAACTGTTCTCTCTATACATTATAAAATGCGAAATCATGCGTTAGAAAGTGCATTTTCCAGAACAGTTTGTGTTGGCCATTGTTTTGTTTATGATGTTCAGAGGCTATGTTGTTGACAACCACTATCGTCATATAGATCAGTGTTGACAACCACTATACATGTCATACAGGGAGTAAAGGTATCCGACGTTGGTTCGTTCGTTATCAAGTTAGGCTGTTTAACACATATTAGGCTGTTCACACATATTTCTAAACAGGTCTCCCTTTCAAAATAGGTTCTAAACCCAGGGGCTTCTCCTGGTTAAAGGGTATAATATAATAAATAATTAGAAGCCTAAAAACGTCCTTCTAGTTGTCATGGATATGCAACGCTCCACTCTGTAAAGCGACTGCTTGGGTGCGGTGACAAAATGTGAAATATCGTTTACTTTTCACAATGCAGCAGCGCCTGGCTCCACCCAAATATGAGTGAAAACTGTGTTGGTTGACTTGACAATGAACAAACGAACATAGTTTTAGACAAATATATTTAGATAGCTAAGCTTTAGATAGCCGATCCACTGATGTAGGATGTAAACAACGGCAACCGGAACCGAAGTACCCAACATCCGCCCTCAAGGCGGAAGTTAGCATTTTTCTCGTGCACATAGTCAATCTGTACATCTCAATTCTCCAGCTGCAGTCATCTCTGAGGGAAGACAGTTAGCGCTCTTTGATAACGTGATGATCACGTCCCTTCAGATCACCTGTCCATCATCATATAAAGCCCGCCCTGGCAATTTGATTGGCCCGATGATTTCTGAACCGATCATAATTACTCCTCAATGGATCGAGTCCAGACCGAACTTCCCGTCCAAAAAATGTTGTGGGCGGAGTTCGGGCTGGCATCCAGGCTACTACTCAGCTTTCTCCACAGAACAAGAGCCTGCTAGCTTAGCTTCCAAAAAAAAATGGTTGACACTATGTGTTTATTCTGTGAGTGAGATCCCACCCTCTATGGTGGGTTGAGATTGAGAACATGCAGGACAGACCCTACTACTGACTGTAGTCTTTGGCCTCTGGACAAAAAATCCTCAGATGACGCAAAAAAAATGACGATTTTTGCGTCATCAGATGATATTTTCCAGACAAAAAATACATAAATCTCTCGTCTCAGGGGGATATGAGGGAGGACTACCTGAGTATTGCTGCTGACCACGTCCATCCCTTTAATTATGACCACAGTGTATCATCTTCTGTTGGTAACTTCCAGCAGGATAACACGCCAAATCACAAAGCTCAAATCATGTCAAACTGTGTTTTTGAACTATACAATACAAGGCCTCCAACAATAAAACAAAAATCTAACAATACAAGTTCACTATACTCAATTGGCCCCCACATTCACCAAATCGCAATCCAGTCAAGCACTTTTGGGGTGCGGTGGAATGGGAGATTTACATCATGGATGTGCAGCCAATAAATCTGCCAATATGGACCAGAATCTCTAAGGAAGGCATCCAGCACATTGTTTAAACTATGCCACGAAGAATTAAGGCAGTTCTGAAGGCAAAATCGAGGTCCAACCCAGACCTAGCAAGATGTACCTAATAAAGTATCAGGTGAGTGTGTGTATTTAGCGTGTGTGTGAATATTATATGAGTGGTTTTAGTGCATTTTTACGTGGTTACTTACTTACGAGTCACTCTCTACAACAGATTCTCTCTGGGATTCTGGCCTATATAAATCTGATATCAGTCTGTTAATTTTACAATTACAACTTTTACAGGGTATAAAAGATAAAGTGTTTGTAAAATGGCATAAACATCTGCCTCTGAAACATCCCCAGACACAAATACCAAAGTGAAGGCCGGCGAATGCAAAGGAACAGCTGGGCACATGCCACACACAAAACACACACAAGCTCTCTCCAAAGCTTTAGACAGCCATCAACAGGCCTGTCCATGAAATAACACATAAAGAGTCCAAATGTGCTCTGAAATCTGTGAAGCATTTACTTGAAATATTAACATTATGAATTTAACATTATAATTGTATTTACTGTGGCTTTTGATCCATTTAATGCATCATTGCTGAATAAAAGTATTAATTTCTTCAAAAAAAAAAAAAAAAAAAAAAACACTGACCCCAAACTTTGAATGGTGGTATATGTTTGAGCTTAAAGTGATAGTTCACCCAAAAAAGAAAATTGACATTGATTACACACGCCCTCATGTTGTTCCAAACCCGTAAGACTTCAGTTCATCATTGGAACACAAATGAAGATAATTTTAATAAAATCTGAGTGATGTATTTTCCTCCATTGACAGCTGCACAACTTTGACGTTTCAAAAAGTTCATAAAGAGATCGTAAAACTAATCCATATGAATTTCCGAAAGGACTCAATCGCTTTATATATTGAATTTAGGCTTTTATTCATGAATTTTATTCATATTCAATCAGGTTCTTTCTAGTGTAAGCTTCCGCATTACCAATTTCAATTTGTTCTCGCAATGTATCAGGCAAGTTCAGTTGAGCTTCTGTTTATGTCCGCTGATCAATGTTTATATGAGAATAAAAGCCTAAATTAAAACAGTGATCAAGTCTCTTAAAAAAATGGACTAAACCACTCAATTCATTTGGATTAGTTTTACGACCTCTTTATGAACTGAAGTGTCAAAGTGGTAGTTGCATTGGACTGTCAATGAAAAGTACAGAACTGACTCAGATTTCACAAAAAAATATATCTTCTTTTGTCTTCCGAAAACGTATAGAAGTCTCACGGGTTTGGAACAACACGAGGGTGAGTACATGATGACAGAGTTAACATTTTTGGGTGAATTTTATTTTTTATTTATAACATATGATTGACAAAAAAAACTGGTACATGAGCAAAATACTACTTTTGTTAACTGGACAGGAGGTCACGTGATGAGTCGATGCCAATCTCAAGATGGACAAATATCAGCCTAGACGACCACTAAGAATCTTATATCATTAGAAGATTTAATTTCTATTTAAAAGAAAAGAGTAAGGAAATCATGTCATCATTTGCTAGCCCTCATGCTGACTTGTGCCCTACATGTCCATTTTAATCCGGCACAGTTTTCATACACTCATTCACACACATTGGGTCAGGAATGTGTATCCTTTAGCAGCCCGTGGTTTTTCATCTTTCTAAATGAACAGCAGGTGCCAGACAGAGAGAGAGAGAGAATTCATCTGACTAAAATGCAAGTGGGTCAGTAAACATCGTTCACCCAGCGGCTCAAAAGTATGAAGACACTAAATAACCTCAAAAAACACAAGCTATCGCTGAACATGCGTCATGAGGAGAAGACAAGGACAGTCGTTCTCTTGTTCTGAGTGCAATCTCAGCCCATCTGATCACGTCTTATGAATACACAATCCCATCGGCTGTTTGATGCTCTACCTAAACCAGCAGAAGCCCATTCCTAACAAAAGTCCCAGCCCAAAGCATCTGCGGGTATGAAAAAGCCTGTTGTTCCTGGAGCACATGATCAAAGAAGATGTTTAGTTGCTGCTGAGTGTGGTGGATGCGGTTACTGGCACCTCCAGCTAAACGAATGACTGCTGTGACTTTCATAAGATCCATGTAATCTAAGATTGGGCAACAACATCAAACAGCATCAGCATGCCTCCTAATTGTCTATTGAGGGGGAACGGGAATGTTGAAGAATCCAGCTCTTTACACTTCTGCTTACATAAAGTAAGTAGTACACCACACTACTGTTATTGGGGGCAATATGATTTTTTTCTTTTCTTTGTGAAATAAAATAAATTCACAATTTTTCAGCAAGGAAGGATTAAATTGACCAAAAGGAATACGGTAAAATTTTTCATGATGTTAATGTTCCTATTTTAAATAAACGCATAAATGCAGGTTCCTTTCCACAAAAATACAAAGCAGCAAAACTTTTTCAACATTGATAATAATCAGAAATGTATCTAGAGCATCGAATCATCATGTGACACTAGTCTGGAGTAATGATGCTGAAAATTCAGCTTTGCGTCACATAAATTACATTTAAAACATTCAAATAGAAAACAAAATATGTATTTTTGTACAAATAAATAAAAAACGACATAAAATAAATTTAATTTTAGAAGTGATTTCTACATCTGGAAAAAGTAGTCAACATTTGAAGTGGATCAAAACTTTATTTTCATCAAAGTTATATATGATTGTACAATAGAAACTATTGTATTTTTTTGATACTTCTATATATACTTGTATCTTCATGTTTGATTATTTTGTTCTGTACTGTAGCGCTTTGAATAAGGCAAATAAAATGTATTATTATTATTATTATACATGAAATTTTGAACAATACCCGTTCTTGTCTTAGGACAACTTGGATGAACCTATTATAGACCTATTCATTCATATTTAACTATATATATATATATATATATATATATATATAGTCTTTTTGTATACTTCTAGTTTTATGACTGTTGTAGTGTATTGCTGTAATGTTTAACTCTTTTTTTGTCGTTTAGGGCCTAAAAACATCTGGCAAAGGGACTACCAATGAAAACTAGCCTTCGGGCTAATTTGGGTACATTTACATTTAAGAATGTTAATTAATGTACATTGTCCCTTTTCTAAATAAATAAATAAATAAATAAAAATGAACTTTGTTGATCCACTTCAAATATTGACTACCATATATTTAAATAAAAATCTTAAAATGTCATGGGTACCGTATATAATGATTATATTTTGTAGTTATACCAAGCTCTAAAATATTTAAACAGGTAGAAATTATAAGTATTTTTATTCTTATCCTTAAACTTTTGAATACTGTTGCCAACAATGAGAGGCCTTGAAGTCAAAACATTTGAGAATCAGTGTAGATGCTGTAAAACTATATATAAGCCCTACAAAATCCAAAATTCAATGTTTACAGCTGCAAATGAACTTCATAGATTTTCCACAGATCCTGATAAAGTGCCTAAGATAAAGTCAACTCAATTCACACACTCCAGGAACAGATCAAAGAAGCATTAATAGAAACCAACGATTTCTCATTCCCAAAACCTGCAATTAACTCTAAAAATAATTAATATCCTTTCTATTATGGTGCACTTGTCAGCAAATAATACACATAAAGAACATCAACCTTACTATGAATGCTAACACAATGACAGTTAATGATCATGGATGTTTGAGGGAAGGCGAAAGCATTCGTTAACAATGAATACACTAACAGTGAATTCAGCCACACTTTTTTCCAAAGCAATGTACAGTGCATTCATTACAGGATCATCCCCCAGGACATGAGCATCCTGAGATTAAGTGCCAAGCCAAACGGGACATTGATGATCTCAATAACTCTCCAGCTCCTGCTTCCACAGCTCCATGGGAATGAAGCCACAACCGTTGTGATCCCCAACCACCCCCCTTTCCGACGCAAATTCATAACTTAGACAAACACATCACCAGAAGAGAGAGAGCAAACAGAGTAAGAGTAACGCACCTTCTCCAGCTTCTCGAAGTGTTCCCGCAGGAACTTCATAGGCCGCTCGGGCTTGGCGATGCACAGGTTGACGATGCACTCTTTGAGGATCTGCTGTATGTTGTGTTTCTGCACGAAAACCTCACAGCCTTTCAGACTTTCATCTTCTTCCAGATTGGAGGAGGAGGTGGCCATCTTATCTTCTATCTCTGCCGCAGGAGAAAAGAGCAGGAGGGGGAACGAGGAGAGATATTCTTTCTTAAGTCTGAGTCTAATTCTGTGTCTAATAATATTTGACTGTTGAGGGACTAGATAGAAAAATCCAAAGTATTCAAAATGCATTTATGTAACTGTCTATCAATCTATCGATAAATATAGATAGACAGATAGATAGATAGATAGATAGATAGATAGATAGATAGATAGATAGATTTTATAATGATGATAGGCCATTCTTCTGCATGTAACACATTTACATTTCACTTCCGCCATTGATTCACATCAAACATCCAAAAACCATTAGCAACTGAAGCATCTGTCCTCATTCTCGACCTATACGTTCACGAAACCGATACCGCATTCAGTCGTGCGTGCAAAACGAAGCGTCGGTTTGTCGGCGGAGCGCTCGAGCATCACTCTGTGATCACCTGTTTACGTTTTTATCCCAGCTCATTCGCTTCAAATACAACCTATGCGGTGTATAAATGGCTTTAGTCATGTATTATTTTGGAAACCGCATGTCTCGGTATATAGAGCTGAAAACAGTCGCGTGTGTCGTACAGTATTTAATGTTAATTTGACTTACCGTTATGAGGCGGAGATGCAAGGCTCGCGCTCTGGGATGATGCTTGCTTGGTCCTGCTGCTCGCGAGCGCTGTGACGTCGATCCGTCTCGCGATTGGACACTGACACTGACATTAATAAAATAAATCATTTTAAAATATCAGAAAAGACATATAACTGTCATGTAGATGTTAATGGGTTGAGATTACTTTAGTTTATTTGGAGCTTTTTATTTATTTTGAATCATCTCCTGTTTCAGCCAATCAGCGTAATTATGGGTATGTGCGTCATCCAGAATAACACTCAAGTTTTGTGGATCACAGACCCTGACCTCTACAAACGTTGTCTTCTTCTTTTTTTCTTGTAATGTTTCATCACTTTCCTGGAATGATTTGAGTTTCTAAAGCTAATAATAGTCGTAGTCTTTTTTAAAACCAAATTAGAATCATTAGAATCGACTGTTAACTTTCTTATAACTTACTTGTGGCAAAATTTGATTTTCACAAACAAAAAAATATTTAAAAAAATACCTTTTAAATCATGTAAAAGATGTACCATGTGCATTGTCATCGATCTAAACCCTGAAGACATAAGAGATGACAATGTGGCACACTTAAAAAAAAACTGCATGATTTTATAATAAGCAGATTTTTGTTCTAGATTATTCGTAGTGATGTGAATTGTCAAATCTGATTTTAAAAAAAATGTACGTATGTAAAATATATACGCCACCCGCCATCTCATTACAAATATTTTTGACTATTTATTATTATCTGACTTGTATTTCTTCGTGAAAAATATTGTTCTGGTCATGGTAAAATAAATAAAATAAAGTTGAACTGTTTTGAATGTTCCTCTGCCGTAAAGCCATCTGAGCTGTCGCAATCTACCGTCGTAGTGCCAGCAACAACCGCCATGACAACCAGCAACAACATCAACACACGTGAAGGAGCAATGGCGACCGCCAGTGATGATCGAGCTGCAGCGGATGTTTTAAAATCTCTGGCTCGCCACTTAAACTGTTTGAACGAGGATAACAAAAGCGCCAGAAAACGAGCTCTAGAAGCAGTGAAGAGAGACACAATCGAGCAGCGCTTCTCCAGCGGTGCGCTTCAGGAGCTTTTCACCAGTTTGCTGAAGACGTTGCTGAAATGTCTGTCAGATCCTGCGGAGACATGCAGGGACTCTACTATCCAGATCATCACAGGGTTTATCAGATCTGTCCCCAAACCAGAAGACTCTCTGCCCTATCTCATACCTTCCCTGGCACAGAGGCTCGGGGGAAAGGAGATCCTGGAGCCGGCGGAGGAGCTCAGACTGGCTCTGGTGGAGATGTTGTCTCTGGTGGTGGAGGTGTGCGGCAGACAACTTGCCCCCTACCTGGATGACATGATAAAGATCCTGCAGAGAACCATCACGGATCCCTTCCCTGAAGTCAAGAAAGAGAGCTGTAGATGCACCATCCGTTTTGCACAGTGTGTTCCTGGTAAGTGTGGCCCTCAAGCTGTTGATGTGCAGTTGAGATTATGCATAAATTCACTTTTATGGGTCATTTGTATTAGGGTGTGTTTGTTTAGATTTATTATAGCGTAAGCTGGCCTTAGGGACATTTATGTTGTTGGTTGTCATGGTAAAATGGCCAGACTGATGCCTTGAAGCCAAAGCATTATGCACAGCCACAGGTGAAGTGAATATTGTTGCTCATCTCCTAACAAGGCATCATTTAACCCTTTAGCTGTCACCCCCCTTTTTGAGAAGGGGGGTTAAAATGCACTAAATGGTTATAATTCAAGAATGCTTTGGAATATATAACGTTACCCAAGTTTGGTCTTGTTTTAAAGAAAACACTCAGCAGATTATTGCTGAAGTAAAAACACTCCAAAAAATGAAAGTAGGAAAAAGTTATGGACAGTAAATCAAATATACTGTACTATATATATATATATATTTACTTATATTTTACAAAATATTTTTTACTATAAAATCAAAAAGTCATAAATCTAACCAAGCTATGTTCCAAATTTGAAGTTGATATCACAAAAATTGAAAATTTCGTTTAGCCGTAGTACCAAAAATTGCCACCGGGTGCCATTGAATTCCATCGAATTTAGTTTCAATGGAAAAAATATCTGAGTTACTTTTTCAATTTAGTAATGCAAGTTACATTGTTTTCCCATTTATTGACTGACAGCTCTTCTGTCACCATGTTGAGAGAATCAGGAGTAAGTGCAGAAGTGTTGTGTGTGCTGTGTGTGAACATGATGCTTTTATTGTAGCAATGAAATGCTAACTCTGCAATAGTTAATTATGTTAAATAACACAAATATACTTTATACTTAATTTAATCTCACTTTATTACCCAATGTCTTTGCTGCTGAACTTCGGTGATCTAATTCAACCATAATTATGATATGAGCAAAACTTACTTTACATAAACATCACATTTGTGTTTCTTTTTCCCCACTATTTGCTGAAGTAAGAGTGTTGAACTTATTCCTATTCTTCTGCAATCCAGAATGGCTTTCCCAAACACTGACGATGAAGAGTTCAAGGTGTTTCAATGGCCTCCAAATTCCCCTGATCTCAATGCAATTGTTAAAAGTTCAAAGACCTTCAGGGGTCTTGTAGAGTCCATTCCTCCGTGGGTCGGCGCTGTTTTGGCACACACAGAGGACCAACAACATATTAAGCATGTGGTCATAATGGTTTGGCTTATTGGTGTATATACACAACACAACACAACACATGTAAGGCCAGTTTAACCCCTGTATAATGAATCTAGACAGACATCACTCGACCGCAATGTTCCATATGGACATCTCAATCACCATAGATGCAGATCCACTCCACTGTATCTCAACTGTCTATATCAGGGGTGGCCCAGCTCATATCAATTAAACAATCACAGACACAGTGGAGATGGTAATGTACAAGTTTCCGTTCATCTATCTTTGCCCAGATCATTTCCACCTGCAGGCTGAGAGTCTTCTGAAGCCTCTGTTGCAGACTATTTCTCACCAGCATTCCCAAGTGAGAGTTTCTGCCACACAGGCCACTGGCGCGGTCATTCGGCACAGTTCAGGCAAAAATGTAGATGACGTTTTGTCCCACTTGGCCCAGAGATTGTTTGACGACTCGCCACGGGTAAGCTGGCAGCACTTAGGCTTGTTGATTGATGCGTTTTTTTTAATAAATGGCTCGTCTTTGATGTCTTTATAAGAAGTTCTTCTGCTAAATATGAAATATGATTCCTATTTTACAAGGTGAGGAAGGCCGTGACCATAGTCGTGGGCGATTGGCTCCTCCACCTGCCGGACAGATATTCCTACTTTCACAAGCTCATCCCGCTGCTTCTGAGCAGTCTCAGTGATGAGATCCCTGAAATCAGGTGAGGACAAATGCACAGTCAAAATAACTGTGTTTTTCAGGCCTCTGATGTCATGAGAATGCACGTGTCGTCTTATCGGATAAACATATTATGCACATTTATCCAGTTTTTTTTGTTTTTTTTAATGCGATCCCAAAATGCTTTTAAAAATAGGTGGATGGAAACATAGCTACTCATGTACAAGTTTGTGGTTGGAAAGACTTTATTTGATCACAATTCTGTAAAACAGTGTTGTAAAATATTACAGTTTGAAATAATTGCTTCTTATTTGAATATGTTTTCAGTTGTGATTTAATCTTAATGAGCCCAAACTTTTTAATGGTAATGTGTTTGTCTTTTTGTCTCTTTAGTCCTTTCCTGTAAAAAATATATATATATATGATTTTGTGATTTTAAATGATTTTATCCAGGTCTCTTGCTGAGGACTTGTGGAAAAAAATAGGATCTCAGTGGGAAAATGAAAATGAGGATGATTTGAAGGATAAGATGGACTTTCTGCTGCCTGCACCTGCCCTTTACACTTCTGGAGGTGAGACTGACTAATGACAGAATGACCCTCTTGAAACTGTCCGGCCAACATCTTGACACAAAAATGACTCTTTATTTCCATCAAGAGGTGCATCAATATTCGGTCAAGATCTCAATGCAAGAGTCCAGCACTCTGTAAAGTGTCCTCCAGCACATCCCCAAGACTTTCAGTGAATTTAAGGCCTGGACTCAGATGTGCCAATTCATGTGTTACAGGGCAGTACTGTACATTAGAATAAAAAATAATGTTTTCCCTTGTTTTTTTCTTGGACAGGAGAGCGTCCCGGGCTGGGCTGCAGGGAGCTGGTGGTGAGGAATCTGTCTAAGCTGCTTCCTGCGGTGGGCCGGGACATTGGTGACTGGTTAGTGCAGACGCGAGTGAAGACGGCTCAGCTGCTGCGGGTCCTGCTGCTGCATGCTGAAGATCACTGTACGCAACACCTGCAGTCTCTGCTCACTGTGCTCTACCACACCTGTGCAGACCCTGAGCCTGACGTCAGAACACAGGTGACAGGACAACCAATCAGGAGCATCCATCTATCTATCCATCTATTTGTCTGTCTGTCTGTCTATCTATCTGTCCGCCCGTCTGTCTGTCCGTCCGCCCATTATCTATTTGTCTGTCTGGCTGTCTGTTTATCTATCTATCTATCTATCTATCTATCTATCTATCTATCTATCTATCTATCTATCTATCTATCTATCTATCTATCTATCTGTCTCTGTCTGTCTGTCTATCTATCTGTCTATCCATCTCTATCTCTTTATCTGTCTGTCTATCTATATATCTGTCTGTCAGCTATCTATCTGTTTATATGTATGTTTGTCTGTCTGTCTGTCTGTCTATCTATCTATCTATCTATCTATCTATCTATCTCTTTATCTGTCTGTCTGTCTATCTATCTGTCTATCCATCTCTATATCTTTATCTGTCTGTCTATCTATATCAGGGGTCTCAAACTCAAATTAACTGGGGGCCGCTGGAGATAGAGTCTGGGTCAGGCCAGGCCGCATCAAGTACTCCCAAAAATAAAAAAAAATGTATTTAAGTATTCCAAAAATGGAGCACAACTGATCCAATCTTTATTATTAACGTTTCTTTTGAACTGTTCCTCTGAATTTGAACATTCCTTTCTGTACATGATTGGTTCTTCATGAGCTGTCCTTCTGACAGTTGACAGTTTTACAAACTTTCTTTGTCTTTTTCTTATACACAAAATCTTTGTTGTGATGATAGTCATATTTGCTTTTTATTTTCTTTATACAACACTATTATATTTTTTTTTCCAAAAGGCACATTTCCTTTTATTATACTTAGAAAAACAATTACTGCTTTTGAAATACAAATAATTCTTTCTACACATGTATAGTGTCTCAGGCAAATTACTGACTTTGCACATATCAAAGCAAACCTTCTTATCAACCATTACATGAACTAGTTCAAAGTTCAATTCACAAATTTTAAAATGAACTAGTTCAGTTCATATTTCAAAAATGAACTAGTTCTTTTTTTTCATATGTTGCTGCGAGCTTCTTTTTTTTATTAGGCTATTATTATTGCCACAACCCATATACAACCACAGATAACAATCATTTTATTGACGGGCAAAGTTTGCACAGACATGTAAGATTTTCCCATCCTCACCGACCTCATAAAAGCCTTTTAAATGATCTTACGACGCCTCCTCGCTCCTCGGTTCACAACCACTTGAATGAACGAGTTCACTGTAACGTTCATCAGGCAGTAATACAGTAGGCTAGCCTACATTCAGTTCACGTTCACCCAAAATATAAACGAGTTCATTCTATCGTTCATTGAACGCGTTCAGACACAACACATATTACAAGCTCAAAATGCTTATTCTCACATTGTTTTAGAGCAGGGATATCCAACACGTCGCTCGCGAGCTATCAGTAGCTGTGGCCTGATTTGGTGGTGGTAGCTCGCCTGCTCACATATCGCGCTCACATTATATTTTGCACGCTCAACGTTTCAAATGTAGGCGCGCATCAAGC